TTAATTTTTCATAAAGGTTCAAAAAGTGTGTTTAAAATTCAGTTATATAACTCCTCGATTTGAACCTTTTAACTGTGAAAGTTTATCAAATTCTAGTAAATTATTAAAAAAAATGGTTGAAAATTAAAAAAGCATGTATAAAAAAAATTTAAAAAAAAAGTTTGTTTATAAGTAGGATGATGTATAATATCGGTTTGTGTATGTATTTTTTAACATTTATATATTACAAACTGTTTAATAATTAAATATATTAATAAAACATAAAATTATTAATAAAATAAATAAAATTAATTGTTTTTCTAAAAGCGGTCAACGGACGATTCAAAATGATACGAATAACCCAAATTATCTCTTACAAAGACCCTTAAACTTACCTACCTACCTACCTACCTAACTACTACTAACTACTAACTACTAACTAACTAACTAACTAACTAACTAACTAACTAACTAACTAACTAACTAACTAACTAACTAACTAACTAACTACTAACTAACTAACTACTAACTAACTAACTAACTAACAACTACTACTAACTAACTAACTAACTAACTAACTAACTAACTAACTAACTAACTAACTACTAACTAACTAACTAACTAACTACTACTAACTAACTAACTAACTACTAACTAACTAACTAACTAACTACTAACTAACTAACTAACTAACTAACTACTAACTAACTAACTAACTAACTACTACTAACTAACTACTACTAACTAACTAACTAACTAACTAACTAACTAACTAACTAACTAACTAACTAACTAACTAACTAACTAATACTAACTACTACTACTAACTAACTAACTAACACTAAGTAGTAAGTAACTAACTAACTACTACTACTAACTAACTAACTAACTAACTAACTAACTAACTAACTAACTAACTAACTAACTACTAACTACTAACTAACTAAACTAACTAACTAACTAACTAACTAACTAACTAACTAACTAACTACTAACTAACTAACTAACTAACTAACTAACTAACTAACGAACTAACTAACTACTAACTAACTAACTACTAACTAACTAACTAACTAACTAACTAACTAACTAACTAACTAACTAACTACTAACTAACTAACTAACTAACTAACTAACTAACCTAACTAACTAACTAACTAACTAACTAACTACTACTAACTAACTAACTAACTAACTAACTAACTAACTACTAACTAACTAACTAACTACTACTAACTAACTAACTAACTAACTAACTAACTAACTAACTAACTAACTAACTACTAACTAACTAACTACTACTAACTACCTAACTAACTAACTAACTAACTAACTAACTAACTAACTAACTAACCTAACTAACTACTAACTAACTAACTAACTAACTACTACTAACTAACTAACTAACTAACTAACTAACGAACTAAATAACTAACTAACTAACTAACTAACTAACTAACTAACTAACTACTAACTAACTAACTACTAACTAACTAACTAACTAACTAACTACTAACTACTAACTAACTACCTACTAACTAACTAACACTAACTACTAAATAACTAACTAACTAACTAACTACTAAACTAACTAACTACTAACTAACTAACTAACTACTAACTAACTAACTAACTAACTAAGTACTAACTAAACTAACTAACTAACTAACTAACTAACTAATAGTAATAACTAACTAACTAACTACTAACTAACTACTACTAACTAACTAACTAACTAACTAACTAACTAACTACTAACTAACTAACTAACCTAACTAACTAACTAACTAACTAACTAACTAACTAACTACTAACTACTAACTAACTAACTAACTAACTACTAACTAACCTAACTAACTACTACTAACTAACTAACTAACTAACTACTACTAACTAACTAACTAACTAACTAACCTAACTAACTAACTAACTAACTAACTAACTAACTAACTAACTAATAACTAACTAACTAACTAACTACCTAACCTAACAACGTAACTAACTAACTAACTAACTAACTAACTAACTCTACTAACTAACTAACTACCTAACTAACTAACTAACTAACTAACTACTAACTAACTAACTAACTAACTAACTAACTAACTAACTAACTAACTAACTAACTAACCTAACTAACTAACTAACTAACTAACCAACTAACTAAACTAACTAACTAACTAACTAACTAACTATAACGAACTAACTTAACTAACTAACTAACTAACTAACGAACTAACTAACTAACGAACTAACTAACTAACTAACTAACTAACTAACTAACTAACTAACTAACCTAACTAACTAACTAACTAAACTAACTAACTTAAACTAACTAACTAACTAACTAACTAACTAACTAAATAAACTACTAACTAACTAACTAACTAACTAACTAACTACTATACTATATACTAGACTATACCTTAGACTGCAGACTAGACTATAGACTACACTATAGACTAGACTATAGACTACACTATAGACCAGACTATAGACTAGGTTACAGACTGGACTATAGACTAGACTATAGACTAGACTATAGACTAGACTATAGACTAGACTATAGACTAGACTATAGACTAGACTATAGACTAGACTATAGACTAGACTATAGACTAGACTATAGACTAGACTATAGACTAGACTATAGACTAGACTATAGACTAGACTAGACTATAGACTAGACTAGACTAGACTAGACTAGACTAGACTAGACTAGACTAGACTAGACTAGACTAGACTAGACTGGACTAGACTAGACTAGAATAGACTAGACTGGACTAGACTAGACTAGACTAGACTAGACTAGACTAGACTAGACTAGACTAGACTAGACTAGACTAGACTAGACTAGACTAGACTAGACTAGACTAGACTAGACTAGACTAGACTAGACTAGACTAGACTATAGACTAGACTAAAGACTAGACTATAGACTAGACTATAGACTAGACTATAGACTAGACTATAGACTAGACTATAGACTAGACTATAGCCTAGACTATAGACTAGACTAAAGACCAGACTACAGACTAGACAATAGAATATACTATATACTAGACTATAGACCACACTATAGACTAGACTACATACCATAGACTAGAATATAGACAAGACAATAGAATATACTATATACTAGACTATATACTATAGACCAGACTACAGACCATAGACTAGACTATAGAATATACCATAGACTAGACTACAGACTAGACTGTAGACTACACTATATACTAGACTATAGTATAGACTACAGTCTAGACTAGACTATAGATCAGACTATATACTAGACTATAGGTTAGACTACAGACTATATTACAGACTAGACTACAGATTGCAGACTGCATACATGGTTATAGGGCCTATATAATATAAACTATAGACTAGAATGTACACTAGATAATAAGCTGTAGACAATAGACTGGACTATAAACTAAGCAATAAACTAGACTATATAGTAGACTATAGACTAGACTATAGACTAGACTATAGATTAGACTATAGACTAGACTATAGACTAGACTATAAACTAGACTATAGACTAGACTATAGACTAGACTATAGACTAGACTATAGACTAGACTATAGACTAGACTATAGACTAGACTATAGACTAGACTATAGACTAGACTATAGACTAGACTATAGACTAGACTATAGACTAGACTATAGACTAGACTATAGACTAGACTATAGACTAGACTAAACACTAGACTAGACTATAGATCAAACTATATACTAGACTGTAGTTTAGACTACAGACTATATTACAGACTAGACTAGGACCTATATAATATAAACTATAGTCTAGAATGTACACTAGATAATAGACTAGATTAGACTATATACTAGACTATAGACTATATAGTCTATAGTATGGACTAAGCTGTAGACAATAGACTAGACTATAAACTAAGCAATAAACTAGACTATATACTAGACTATAGACTAGACTATAGACTAGACTATAGACTAGACTATAGACTAGACTACAGTCTAGACTAAACACTAGACTAGACTATAGATCAGACTATATACTAGACTATAGGTTAGACTACAGACTATATTACAGACTAGACTAGGACCTAAGTATATAATATAAACTATAGACTAGAATGTACACTAGATAATAGACTAGATTAGACTGTATACTAGACTATAGACTATATAGTCTATAGTATGGACTGAGCTGTAGACAATAGACTAGGCTATAAACTAAGCTATAAACTAGACTATAGACTAGATCATAGACTAGACTAGAAACTATAGAATAGACAAAAGACTACACTATATACTAGACTAAAGACTAGAGTATTGACTAGTCTATAAAATAGACTACAGACTAGATTATGGACTAGACTATATACTACGCTACAGACTAGACTGGACTACAGACTAAACTATAACTGGACTATATGTATATTAGACCTGACTATTGGCTAGACTATATACTACGCTACAGACTAGAGTATAGATTAGACCATAGACTAGACTATAGACTGGACCGTAGACTACAGACATGAATATTGTTTAAACTACAGACAGTGCTATAGGCTAGATTAGAATATAGTCTAGAATATGGACTAGACTAGATAATAGACTAGACTAAAGACTAGATAATAGATTGTAGACTAGCCAATAGGCTACATATAGAATACCCTATAGACTGGACTATAAACTAAATTATAGACTAGAGTATGTAATAGACTATTTACAAGACCATAAACTAGACTTGACTATAATCTAAAGTATAGACTAGACTCTAATATTAGGTAAAACTATTGCTTCTCTACTAGCGGCCATACTTAATTTCAAGGGTATCAGTCCATAATTCATCCTATTCTATATGTGTAGGAGCAACGTTCTAAAATCATTTAAAATTTAATGATAAATATTTCTAGGTAAAATTTTTTGATTTCCATACATTGTACCGATTCATCAGTTAGAATTTTATGTCCTTGAAAAGAAACGCTTAAAATCAAACATATAAAAGCTCTTTTTATTATTTATATTAAGTTATTATAAATCGGCATATATTAAATTATGTTATATTATATAATACATTAACTAAAAACAAAATAAAATCATTATTTAAGGACTTAAAACTAAAGTTTAGAAAACTAAACCTAATGAACTCAAATATTAACAAACATCATCAATGGGTTCTTCATCTTCCAGACTGGGACCGATTTCAATAAAACCGTCTTCCGGTAAATCCGGACCACTTTCAACTCTGCAAAGAAATTGTAAATAGAAATTTAAATTTTCGATTATCTAACACATTGAAATATTTGCTTCATCTACTCTTAAATTAGTTTGATATACGTGTAATGTCACAAAGAAAAAACCAACAAAAAAAAACTTACTTCTCAAAATCACATTGCGGTAATAAACCCTCATCCTTTGAGTTATTACTGAAACGAAAGACTAAACATAAACGCAGCACCGCCAAAAATATCAGCAAAAGACCAGCCACATAACTTAGCCAGAGATTGTGGGGCCACACCATTAGAGCAGTGCCAATAGCAATATAGGGAAAGGCGAGACGCCAGCTACCAAAGCATTTACAGCACGACCAACATTGTAAACATTTTGAATAGTTATCGCTGGAAAGGAATAAAAGAAAGAAGAGAAAAGTGTAGCGAGGGGTTAAAAGAAAAACAATATTAGTGTTTTATGAGAAAATGGGTGGTTTGAAAAGAGGTGTTTTAAAAATAATAAAAAATTTCAATATTCAATATCTTAAAAGGTTATGAAAATAACACCTCTTTTCCAAGAAACACCCCTTACAACTTAAACAGTTAAATCCCAAGCCCTCATCCTGATTATGAGTAAATGAAATAGTACATGACGTTTTCTTCCATACAACGACAAAAAAAAACAAATGCTTACTTGCCAAATATTAATTGCAGGAAAAGAGTTATGACCCATTTGACTTCAAACAACAATATGATTATTGAAGAAATTCTGAAAAACAAAAGATGAAAAAGCAAGAAACCATGAAAACCTCATAAAACCAAGAAATTTATTTATTAACTTAAGTTAAGATGAAATTTCAATAAATAATCTAGTAAAATGGGATGTTTTTTTTTAACCAAAATACAAGTTACTTACACTATAAATAGTCCGGCTTCATAGCCATGTAAATAGACATCGACCCCGACACCACAAATTACTGAAATTAAATCAAAAACATGTTTTCGCTTTTAGTGGGAATTCAATACGAGTATTAATCTTATATTTATTTAAGATTAATTAAGTACATGTTCAAATAGACAAACAAACGTATTAACAATATGTAATTATATTATGGAATGAGTGTAAAGAAAAAACAAAGTTAATAGACATGAATTAAACCTTAAACGGGCAGAGACACAAAAGGAAACTAGAAGAGAACTAGAACTATAACACAACTAGAACAGAACTTGAACAGAACTAGAACATAACTAGAACAGAACTAGAACAGAACTATAACAGAACTAGAACAGAACTAGAACAGAACTAGAACAGAACTGAACTAGAACAGAACTAGAACAGAACAGAACTAGAACAGAACTAGAACACAACTAGAACACAACTAGAACAGAACAGAACTAGAACTAGATCAGAAACTAGAAAAGAACTAGAACACAACTAGAAAGAACTAGAACAGAACTAGACAGAACTAGAACAGAACTAGAACAGAACTAGAACAGAACTAGAACAGAACTAGAACAGAACTAGAACAGAACTAGAACAGAACTAGAACAGAACTAAACAGAACTAGAACAGAACTAGAACAGAACTAAGAACCAGGAACTAGAACAGAACTAGAACAGAACTAGACAGAACTAGAACAGAACTAGAACAGAACTAGAACAGAACTAGAACGACTAGAACAGAACTAGAACAGAACTAGAACAGAACAGAACTAGAACAGAACTAGAACAGAACTAGAACAGACTAGAACAGAACTAGAACAGAACTAGAACAGAACTAGAACAGAACTAGAACAGAACTAGAACAGAACTAGAACAGAACTAGAACAGAACTAGAACAGAACTAGAACAGAACTAGAACAGAACTAGAATAGAACAGAACTAGAACAACAACTAGAACAGAACAGAACAGAACAGAACAGAACTAGAACTAGATCAGAACTAGAAAAGAACTAGAACACAAACTAGAAAAGAACTAGAACAGAACTAGAACAGAACTACAACATAACTACAACAGAACTACAACAGAAACTGAACTAGAACAGAACTACAACAGAACTACAACAGAACATGAACTAGAACAGAAACTAGAACAGAACTAGAACAAAATTAGAACAGAACTAGAACAGAACTAGAACAGAACTAGAACAGAACTAGAACAGAACTAGAACAGAACTAGAACTAGAACAGAACTAGAACAGAACTAGAACAAAACTAGAACAGAACTAGAACAGAACTAAAAACAGAACCACAACAGAACTAGAACAGAAATAGAACAGAACTAAAACAGATCTAGAACTAATGCAGAACTACAAAGAATTAGAACAGAACTAAAACAGAACTAGAACTAAAGCAGAACTACAAAGAATTAGAACAGAACTAGAACAGAACTAGAACAGAACTAGAACAAAACTAGAACAGAACTAGAACAGAACTAGAACAGAACTAGAACAGAACTAGAACAGAACTAGAACAGACTAGAACAGAACTAACAGAACTAGAACAGAACTAGAAACAGAACTAGAACAGAACAGAACTAGAACAGAACTAGAACAGAACTAGAACAGAACTAGAACAGAACTAGAACAGAACTAGAACAGAACTAGAACAGAACTAGAACAGAAACTAGAACAGAACTAGAACAGAACTAGAACAGAACTAGAACAGAACTAGAACAGAACTAGAAACAGAACTAGAACAGAACTAGAACAGAACTAGAACAGAACTAGAACAACTAGAACAGACTAGAACAGAACTAGAACAGAACTAGAACAGAACTAGAACAGCACTAGAACAGAACTAGAACAGAACTAGAACAGAACTAGAACAGAACTAGAACAGAACTAGAACAGAACTAGACAGAACTAGAACAAGAACTATGAACAGAACTAGAACAGAACTAGAACAGAACTAGAACAGAACTAGCACAGAACTAGAACAGAACTAGAACAGCAACTAGAACAGAACTAGAACAGAAATAGAACAGAACTAGACACGAACTAGAACAGAACTAAACGAAACTAAAAACAGAACTAGAACTGCAACTAGAACGGAACTATAACGGAGACTAGACGAACTAGAACAGAACTAGAACAGAACTAGAAACAGAACTAGAACAGAACTAGAACAGAACTAGAACAGAACTAGAACAGAACTAGAACAGAACTAGAACAGAAACTAGAACAGAACTCGAACAGAAACTAGAACAGAACTAGAACAGAACTAGAACAGAACTAGAACAGAACTAGAAACAGAACTAGAACAGAACTAGAACATTAACTAGAAACAGAACTAGAACGGAACTAGAACATAACTAGAACAGAACTAGAACATAACTAGAACAGAACTAGAACAGAACTAGAACAGAACTAGAACGGAAATAGAACATAACTAGAACAGAACTAGAACAGAACTAGAAACAGAACTAGAACAGAACTAGAACAGAACTAGAACAGAAACTAGAACAGAACTAGAACAGAACTAGAACAGAACTAGAACAGAACTAGAACAGAACTAGAACAGAACTAGAACAGAACTAGAACAGAACTAGAACAGAACTAGAACAGAACTAGAACAGAACTAGAACAGAACTAGAACAGAACTAGAACAGAACTAGAACAGAACTAGAAAGAACTAGAACAGAACTAGAGCAGGAAACTAGAACAGAACTAGAACAGAACTAGAACAGAACTAGAACAGAACTAGAACATAATTAGAACAGAAACTAGAACAGAACTAGAACAGAACTAGAACGTACTAGAACAGAACTAGAACAGCAGACGAACTAGAACAGAACTAGAAGAACTAGAACAGAACTAGAACAGAACTAGAACATAACTAGAACAGAACTAGAACAGAACTAGAACAGAACTAGAACAGAAACTAGAACAGAACTAGAACAGAACTAGAACAGAACTAGAACAGAACTAGAACAGAACTAGAACAGAACTAGAACAGAACTAGAACAGAACTAGAACAGAACTAGAACAGAACTAGAACAGAACTAGAACAGAACTAGAACAGAACTAGAACAGAACTAGAACAGAACTAGAACAGAACTAGAACAGAACTAGAACAGAACTAGAACAGAACTAGAACAGAATTAGAACAGAACTAGAACAGAACTAGAACAGAACTAGAACAGAACTAGAACAGAACTAGAACAGAACTAGAACAGAACTAGAACAGAACTAGAACAGAACTAGAACAGAACTAGAACAGAACTAGAACAGAACTAGAACAGAACTAGAACAGAACTAGAACAGAAGAAGTAGAACAGAACTAGAACAGAACTAGAACAGAACTAGAACAGAACTAGGAACAGAACTAGAACAGAACTAGACAGAACTAGAACAGAACTAGAACAGAACTAGAAACAGAACTAGAAGGAACTAGAACAGAACTAGAACAGAACTAGAACAGAAACTAGAACAGAACTAGAAACAGAACTAGAACAGAACTAGAACAGAACTAGAACAGAACTAGAACATAACTAGAACAGAACTAGAAACAGAGAACTAGAACAGAACTAGAACAGAACTAGAACAGAACTAGAACGGAACTAGACAGAACTAGAAACAGAACTAGAACAGAACTAGAACAGAACTAGAACAGAACTAGAACAGAACTAGAAACAGAACTAGAACAGAACTAGAACAGAACTAGAACAGAAGAACTAGAACAGAACTAGAACAGAACTAGAACAGAACTAGAACAGCAGAACTAGAACAGAACTAGAACAGAACTAGAACAGTACTAGAACAGAACTAGAACGGAACTAGAACATAACTAGAACAGAACTAGAACAGAACTAGAACAGAACTAGAACAGAACTAGAACAGAACTAGAACAGAACTAGAACAGAACTAGAACAGAACTAGAACAGAACTAGAACAGAACTAGAACAGAACTATAAAAGAACTAGAACAGAACTAGAACAGAACTAGAACAGAACTAGAACAAAACTAGAACAGAACTAGAACAGAACTAGAACAGAACTAGAACAGAACTAGAACAGAACTAGAACAGAACTAGAACAGAACTAGAACAGAAACTAGAACAGAACTAGAACAGAACTTGAACAGAACTAGAACAGAACTAGAATAGAACTAGAACAAACTAGAACAGAATAAGAACAGAACTAAAACAGAACTAAACAGAACTAGAACAGAACTAGAACAGAACTAAATAGAACTAGAACTGATCCGTAACTAAACTAACAGAACTACAACAAACTCCAATAACCCCCGTTCCAATTAAGGGTTAATCCCAAGTTTGTACTCTTTTTTGTTTTTAGCACTATTCAATTACATTAACTGGATTAATAAACCAGAAAGTTTTTCACCCAACCACCCTATAAGAACGAAAAAAGCGCCAAAACAAAAACTCAATTGAACTGAATGAAAAACTACTAAAATATGCACAAAACTTTAAGTGAATCTACGTAAAACAAGTACGACTAAATAACGCTATTATATAGAAACAACAAAAATTAAACCAAACAAATAATACTATTCAAACTGTAAAGGGATAGGGAATTTAAGGAAAAAGTATTTTTCTTTCTTAAATTCATTTAAGGCGCTTTTCAATTCAAATTGATTCGGTGGCTGTTCAAACTCATTCCCTATAACTTCTTATGATTTGTCAACAAAATTCTCTGCCAAAAAGTTTGTTTTTAGATATTTGATGCAAAATATGTAAAAACCAACAAAAAGTTCAATATCCTGATTTCTTTTATGACTGATAATTTAAAATATTTCATTAGAAATTTCTGAGATTTTGTTTTTTTTTTTTTTTCGTGGAAATGTTAAAAATTAGTTTTTTTTTTTTCTTAATGTTTGCATTTTTCTTATTGTTCCAGGCGTGGAGTTATTAGTAGAAGACACAAAATATAAGAAAGAAACTTTGGAAAAACAAATTTGTAAAATACACTTATACCAGCAAACGCATTTATAGAAATTTTCAGTCATAAAAGAAA